CTGACTACAAAAGTGTCACATTGCTTAGTAGTGTGACACTAAAGTTTTTGGCGTGCGAGTGACTTTCTACCTTTAACATTTTGATATGCAGAGGCATCTGCGGTTACTCCAGCACCACAGTACTGTTACTGCTTACAAAATTGAGCACTTCCTTCTAGTAAGAGATTGGTGAAGGCCCTTTCCCTGTTCCGGCACAACTGTGCCCCTGTGGACAAAGGCAGCTCCATAAAAAGATATGGTTTGGGGTGGAGGAACTCTAGTGTCCTGCACAGAGCCCTGACCTCAACCCTACAGAACATCTTTGGAATGGCGATGGTGAGCCAGATCTTCTCAGCCAACACCAGTACCTGACCTCACAAATGCTCTTTTGCTGTATGGGCACACTCCAAAAATAGTGTAAAGCCTTCCTATAAGAGTGGGGGCTGTTATAGCCACAAAAGGGGACCAACGCCATATTAATGTTAATGGTTTTTTAATAGGATATCCAGATAGGCTCATATAGGTGTTGGTCACGGGTCTACAAATGTTTGGCCATAAAGTGTAGAATTGCAGCAACCATCAGTCAACGTATATACACCAATATAAATTACACTTACTATGAGTTACTGCCCTTTACCTGAATCGCTCACATCAGCCTCACAAGATCATAGAAAGCTTGCTCAAATTCAAAGTTTTATTTGAAGGTAAACTCTCCCACAAGCGCATTGCAATCTTTACCTTTCCCACAGGGGTAGCCAGCCACCCACAAACCAGACAAGAGTTCAAATGGCTTAGGTGCACTGCACATCTAAGTGGCCTGGCTGGATACAGAAACATGACAAGCCAGATGAGGGGATTCTGGCTGAAAGCTCCTCACCTACAAAATGGACGTTTACCTCACTCCAGTTAATAAAGCAAAATGTCATGTCAAAGTCCTGTCAATAGGCAGAGTATACAATTCTACCCATCTCCTATAGGACACCTTAAGATAAGTAATTGTATGGAATCACAAAGAATTAAAAAACAAGAGGACATGAGGTAAACATTTGTAAACTCACAGCCGTTACTGTATTTTAGGTGGCTGGGTGCAGCCAGCCATTCAACCTTTAAAAAGAACACCATGGGACCAATGACTACTTTCATGCATTTAATTTACATTAGTGGATGCTCAATAGCTGTAATTCCGGTCCCTTAGCTCACTGATATGTGCAGGATTCCCCGGCAAAGAAGGGAAAAAGCACATTTGACCTAGCTCTGTGGGTCTACCTCCCCAGACGGGGAGATAAATATAACAGCAACTGGCGAGCGGAAGGAGCCGGGTTTTAACTGGACTCGGTGCAGCGCGACGGGCGAGGTTACCTGGGGTTATCCGCCACATTGCCGGGGAATCCTGCACATATCAGTGAGCTAAGGGACCGGAATTACAGCTATTGAGAGGAGCTTGCTGTCCATACACCATCTGGTGAGTAACCACCGTTTGGGGGGCTTCAGATCGGGTGAGGAGGAATTGTGGAACTCTCATCAGAACGCTCATATTGATTTTTATATAATTTATATATTTTTTTCGTATATATATATTTTTTGGTGCAGTTTGTGTTAGTTCACAACGCGGACTGAAATTTCTGGAAGGACTTGTGTTTTTTCTTTTTCTTTTTTTATTTTTCGTTTTTTTCATTTTTTTACCTCCTTTTCATCTTTGTATTTGCAACACAATTTTGATTGTTACATTTGCTTCACTGTTTTCACTGCTAATTTGCATTTTTTCACATATTTATGAAATAATTTTATTGAATGGTTAATTAATTTTTTATAGTTTATTTCGATAGACTTAGTTTTAATATTTTATAGTGTGTTATCCTGTTACATTTATTAACCTATCCTATTGAGGAATGTAGTTTTCCTGTTGGTTGTCTGCACATCAGCACTTTTTCAGTCCTTTATGGTACTTTATATTCATTATTGGTAAGTTTTTTTGAAGACTTACACACAGGGTATCACTCACGTTTTGATCCATATATTTATTCACATATTTTCATATTTATTCCAAACCTTTAGCGCTGTGACAACACTTTACACTTTCACTTTACACCTCTCATAGCAGCTTTAGGATCATTACTTGACTTTTAGTTTACTTTCCAAAAGCGCAGATTTTTTGTTGCAAAGTAGTCTCCGCTCCAAGCTCACTCCCGGGATGGAATACCATCTCACGTTTAGTTTACTAATTTGTATTGAGATTGTAGTCCCATCCCGGGAGTGAGCTTGGAGCAGTGACTACTTTACAACACACACAGGGACCATGGGGAACAAAAGTAGCCCCCCTCCAGAAGGAAGGACAATGTCAGCACCAATTCAGAGATGATTGGAGGATCTACAGCCGAGTGATGCACAAAACGAACAAAAGTGTATCTTAGCAGTTAAACCTTAAAAATGCCAACAAAACATTGAGTTTAGGGTCACTAAGACTTCAATCAAATCTGAGGAAGGCCACAGACATATGGTCAAGAAGAACTAAGGACCCTAATGTTTAGATGGGACACAATAAAATAGACATATATGGACAGTACAAGACAAATATTCTATCTTATGTGGGTTCCAGGCACACCAGCTATTACACAAATGCAGTGCCATCCATCAACCCCACCCCCCCCCTGCACCAACAGACAGGAATCAGTCCCTTGCAGCTGAAAATCCACCCAAGTTGTAACCTTCACAGTGAGAGCTGTACTACCTGCACTAAGACAAACAGCAAGGGCTCATAACCCGATATTATGTACGCTTATAGGAGATTTCACTCTTCTAGTACTCCAGCCAATACAAATAAAATATAAAGTAAGAGAAAGGAGATGGGGAGGGGGGGAAATATCACTACTAGGACTGCAGTTGGATCTCCACCCCTACAGAGAAAATAAGTTGCATACAAAAATTAAAGGCCTATTCCACCCAACACTAAGGGGTCCATTTATAAACATTCCGCGGAGTCATTCACCCTGCAAATCTCTGAAGGTTTGTGTATACAGAGGCCAAAAAACACATTAGTATATTTTCTTGATACATCTAATTTTGAATCTCATGTAATACCACATCATGGCCACCAGATGGAGCTGAGGAGACTAGGCAATAAGTACTTCTTTCCTATGCTCTTTAGCTCCACCCAGTGGTCATATGGTGGTATTGTGGTATTGTACATTCCCAATTGGCAGGGAAATGTACCAAGAACATTGGTTCTTGGCATTGGCTCAAAAAGAACACTTATGGAGTTCCACAAGACGAATGGCTCTGCAAATGGTTCATAGACAATTCCAAAAAGTATTTGTGAACACCAGAGTTTAAATCACCTGACCATTTCCAAAATCTACAACACACCAATGGCAAGATTCCTCCTTCAGTATTTTAGGGGGAAGTCTCAGTTACAAAAGTCAAATACTTTAAGTGCAACGCTCATTGCGGAGAATGTGTTTGGGAAAGCCAGACACCGAAGCATCCCAAATCCTTCAGAGAGCGCCACCCCCCTGCATGCACCATCCAGGCTCTGAATGATCCCCCCTTATGGAAGATCATTCTGTGAACAGGTACATCTGCATGCTAGTCTTTCCTGGTTAAGAGGCTCAACCAGGGGAGGTCTACAATGGTCAGTG